GTGCTAGAGTGTACTTGAACATGGGAGTGCTTGGAACGGCCGTAGGACCAATGCACAGTAAGTAAAGACCATGCTGAGTTAAAGCGCTCGTGACCCTGCGGTCGGAAGTCTGCAAAGTGGTGTCCTTTTGACAGTTGCTCCAGGCTCCACCAAAGTGGTTCAAAAATAAAATGCCTTAACAGTTATCATTTGTACGATTACTTGATCTTTTGCAGTAGCCAGGACCTTAAAACCGTAGTAACATCAGTGAGCAAAAAAAAAACTAAATCAATAGAGGAGGGCTGAACTTTGCTAAGTAATTGCCGCAGAATAGCAGAATACAATTTCTATACAGTGTTTTAGCGTTTCAGAGCCCCGTATACAGGCAGTGTTCTCGAAGACCTTCACAACTACTCTTAAAATTTTCGTCGAATCATTCGAAAGTTGTAAAAAAGTCTTACCTTCAAGGGGCCTTAAAACGCTCTTTTAAGTAACTATGGAATGAATTCACTGAAAAAGCTTATTGCTTCACGAATTCAACGCCGCAAAAATTTTAAGAATTCGTCCAGTGCGAGTGAAGTTACAAAGGTTTGTTGCATGCTGCAATTGCATTCTCTCTTCCCTCGTCCCGACGAAAGCGCTGGAAGCTAAGCAGGCAGGAATTGATGGGCCACAGAAAAACGTCTCATGCCCCTCGTGGCCTTGAGCGCTTTTGTTCTTTTTTTTCTTCGAATGAGCCGCTCTTTCGGTGTGATCGTGCACTCACGCGTGGACAAGTCGCGGCCTCCTGCGGAAATCTCTGTAACGAGCGAGCGAGCCATGTTCAAAGCAGCCAATGGCTGATAGATGGGTAATTTACGTGTGATTTTTGGGCATATTCCGCCATTTGTCGAGAGAAGAGAAAGCAAATTTTAGCGGACTGATAATTTATTGTGCATTCTAGGCCGCGTGCAGTGTGATAATATTTGGCTCGCGTGTTGCCGGGAGCCTCTACTATCGATCGGCAGCGTTTTCCAACCATGCTCAAAAGGTGTTGCAGGGCCCCTTTAAGTCATCCTTCACAAAGTGGTGTGAGCGCAAAATGAGTACCAGATTTAACGCCAGATTATGCGTATTTTAGATGTAGGTGATCTTCTTGTGGCAAAAGACATGGTCATTGAACGTTTAAAGAAGTCCGTTATGTCAAGTCTGAGTATGGTTGCAAAAAGCGATAAGAGGAAACGTGTTGTAGGTATATCATACATTCATTGCGTATCTCAAAGAATAATGAAAGTAGACAATAGATACAGTGTCAATTTTTTTACGGCTGCCAGTATATGGCAGGTAAGATTTGTGCCCCTGTGCAGAGAAAGAGTGCCAGAGTGCAAAAAAATAGGAGCAGATGAATATTCGTTTGGTAAAACATACCAAAAAATCACCTGATTGTCATACAAGTTATAAGTTTAGTGTATAAGGTTCCTTTTAGCCTCCACGTAGGACATGGGCCACTGCATTAACCACAGATTATTGGAACATAAAAAAAATCACCAGCTGGAGGACAAGCTTCTGATGTTTTTGACATTGGCGAGAGTGTATAAGTGCACGCTAAAGTCCGATGATTGCGTGGTTTTGTACTGGTACAGGAATTAAGAAACGTGTCTGATTATTCAGGCATGACATATCGATGATAAGAGTGACAACGAATGCGTGAGGCAACTGTCAATTGACTTGCATAACGATGAAATCAAATGCCTTAACAGCTATCTTTTACGTAGACCCTCATGCGTGCGAGATAAGTTTTTTCACATATTGCATGGGCATGCGCACGTAAGATTTCGTGTTGTCTTTCTGTTCCAGGCCAGTGTGTGGTGTAGCGGTTAGGGTCATGGACTGCTGACCCAAAGGCCACGGGTTCAATCCAGGCCACTGCAGTCGCATTTTGATGTAGACGAAATGGTAGAAGCCCGTGCGCTGAGCGACTTCAGTGCAGGTTGAGGAACACCAGATGACTGAACTTTTCGGAGCTCGCCACAACGGCACTCCTCATATATAGGGACTTTTAGCTGACCGTTTTTCGCCACGCACTCCACTCAGCCAGTCGATCGTTGCGCCACTGCGCATGCGCTATACGGTCAGGCGCTGAGCCTTTAAGCGGAAAGTCGTAGTAAGCGAAGGATCACGTGACGCAAGGAGAAACGGCTAAAATGGCAGCCTCCTGTGCCGCGAGTCCACGCTGCTCGAGAAACAGTGTTTTTTTTTTGGCGAACACGCAAGCGCCGACGGTACTTCAAGACCCACAAGGATCTGTAGCTTTTCCCAAAAGTCGTAACAGCCAATCTCTTCGAGAATCCGCGCATGTGGGGTGAAGTTCCACGAAACGATCCAAAGCTGACACTTGAGACCATAAAGGAGCGTCTCGAGATGCTTCTTGGGTATTTCCGTCGAAGGGAGTTCGTGAATCTTCGATAGTAAGCGATTTTATGAAACAATAGTAACAACTTAGTATTTAACAGCAGCCACTCTTCCCCCTATTCAGAAAAGCTTTTTAGTTTGAGTTGCCACAAGGCAACGTGGTGAACGCGCTGCATCAGGGCAGGGAGTTCGAAACGTGTTTCGGCTGCCTTGAAGACTTCGATTGTAGTCCAACTCCAAGTGAAGTTGACAAGAAAAAAATACTCATGCGTCAAACAGTAAACGAACTCGCACTCTTTTAAAACGAAAATTTGTAACTTTATGCAGGATAAGAACTATTTTTATTTCATTTTAAAACAACTTTCATGCACCGGTAGCGTCACCATAGCGTTGGCCGAACGACGCTTGGCTAAAAATGAAAACGTGCGTTGCGCTACGCTACGTAGAGTGTTTGAGCTAAACGGAAAATGGAGCGGAAAATTGGCCAACTAAAAGTCCTTATTCATATCGTGGTTTCAGGACGTTAAACCTCGGAAATTATTATTTTTTCTTCTCCGCCATCATGCGCATCTTCATTTGTTAGCAGGTATGTGTGATGTCCTCATTACCCACTTTTGTCGATGTTTGGACGCCCTGTTTTTTATAATAAGTACTTACCAACTAGCTCACCTCTCTGCTATTCTAAGTCGTAGCAACATTCATTTCCTGGTGACGTAGAGAAATAAACGTTTGGAGCAGTGGCGTAAAGAATAAAAAGTCAGGGAGGTCAGGATCCACCTGCGTCCCGAGTGGGGAGAGACATTCCACGCAAGTGTCCCGCCTCAAGATTTATTTTCCCAATGTCCCATTTGAATTTTTGAACGGTGAAAGACGACGAAATTTCTGTACAACTAACTCTCAAATCTGAAACACTTTCGTTGAACAGAAACGAAGTACAGCTAGCCGGTAGACACGATGGGGAAGGCCTCTATGCGCTAGCACAAAAAAGGCTACCTATTTATTGCATGATTTACCCAATGACGCAGCTTCGAAAATGCTAGCACCTGCCTACGAGTTGCTATGAAAAACTAACTTCGCCATGTGATCTCACAGACTGCTGGATACTCAGTGTTATTTTGTCTGACCAGGTGCCCATTCTCGAGGTCGTTTTATTATTGCGATAGCAATTATATGGACCACTCGGCTGGATTTTGTTGCTGGCGTCGGTGTCGTCGTCGGCGTCGACATGCGCGTCACCGTCACTCACCGCATATGTATGCGTATCTATACATACGAAAGCACAAGAAAAAAAATCCAGAAAAAAACTCCAGTGCGCGAAATGAAACTTGGGACCTCTGAAACGTGAGTGCGACGCGTTAATCACTGAGCCACGGAGGGGCACGTCTCTCAACATTCAAACGGCAAGCTATTTATCTAAACCACTTGCCGATGGTGGCACGCATCTCGCGGGCGAACTATCGTGTTTTCAGCATCACCAGGAAGGTGGCGCCATGAGCGCGCATCGCCACATTGTCACGACGCTGGGGCGCGCTCTCCCATCTCCCAGGCGTACTTTGCCCTGCGGAGAGGAGAGGATGGAAGCTCAGTCGCGCGCCCTTATCTCGAGGTGTGGAGAATCGTATGTCTTGGGTGCCCTTTGGCTTTCACCGGAACGATTATGTTGTAGTTACTGAGCGCACAAAGGTCACTGCAATGTTCTCCGTTTGCGAAAAGAGCGCGCTTATCAGACACAGCGAAGTAACAACTGAGACGCTTATTCGCGTTCATCTGTACTTGGGAGTACGTTTAGTGCGTGATTCCTCTGTGAGAAACACGGGGCACGTTTCGATCTGCTTTCCACTCAGTGAGTGACCTTCCAATTTGTTTTTATCACGTTCCTTGCTTCGCCTGTGTGGCAAAGCTGTGACGTCTTCTTCTTCTTCTTCTTCTTCTTCTTCTTCTTCTTCTTCTTCTTCTTCTTCTTCTTCTTCTTCTTCTTCTTCTTCTTCTTCTTCTTCTTCTTCTTCTTCTTCTTCTTCTTCTTCTTCTTCTTCTTCTTCTTCTTCTTCTAATATGTGAATGCTTATATTTATTTCATGCGAATAAAAATAAAGCAGATGTATAAAACAATATAGCCGCCATTGCAAGATGTCTGTCCTCTATTGTGGTCTTAATGGGTTTACGCCATTGTTGGTGGCTGTTGGCGCGACGAGGTTTCCGGTTTATGTAAGAAAGAAACGAGAAAGAACCACTGTCGCGGGCCACATGCGACCTACGGTGTGGTATAATGCGGCCCTCAGCACGACTTTAGGACCCCTCGCCTTGTTACTTATATGTAGGCCTAGAGGGTAGCTTTGACCTTCAATAGGACTTTTGCTTGTAACGTACGTTTGTAAATTGCAACCTCAATTTTGACAAGTGTGGTCAATACAAGTATTCATTTCTATTGAATTTTTGTATATTACTGTGAATTGGCCGAAAGTTTTCTTTTCATGAAAACCTCCCCCCCCCCTCTCTGGTAGTTTGTCAAGGGAGCCCCGTAGTTTGTCAAGGGGCCTAATTCATGCAACTCGACCCTCCAGATCAAAAGGTACAACCCATGCTATAAACAATTATGGACTGTGCAGCCACGCGCTGTATGGGATACTCACCCTGTACAACGGGCGTCGACATAGTCTTGTTAACCAGACTGTGATTCCCGGGTCCGATTGGATGAGTTTTTGGGGATCCGATGGGGGGCACACAGGTAGGAACGGGATCGCTCCACACACCCTGGCCGAGACAGTGAATTCTTGGTTTTCCTTGTAGGCGATACCCATGCCGACAACTGATATGAGCCACTTCCCTGTTTTTTCGCATCACGTTCAGATAGGGCGTTTCCGTGATTTCAGGGCACCTGTAAAGATCTGATTGAGCAGAAAAGCAAGAAAGAATGATAGGCACCCAAGACCGCACATCGGACCAATACTGTATGAAAGACGATGTATAGTCTTTCTTCGGATACTTCAAAACAGAAATTTTGGTCTGTCTGTCTGTCTGTCTGTCTACTTATTGGTGCTTGTGTCCAATTTATCCGCCACTGGCGAAACTTTAAGCCCACTCATCTTGATCTGATGGCTGCGTTCATACTCGTGAACATTGTCAATCAAAAAAAGCGAATATTACGCATATCCGAGGTGCACTATCAATACGTAAGTATTAGGTAGTATATTTCTTTATTTAAAAAGGCATTGATACGTAATTCTAAAGGTCGAAGTGTATTACACTGTGCTGATGATGTGACGTGAGGCTTCAACGAATAAGCGAATGTTTCCTGCCCTTTGCTAAAATGACATGACGCTAAAAAGTTTTGTTTCTTTGCATTGCTTCCACATGGCGCCAGATCTAACGCAGTGTCTTCACACAGAAGACCTTTTGACGCCCTTCGCAGCGAAACACGCAAATCCGCGGTCAGCGTTTTGCCATGAAAAATTGTTGCGCTGACTGCATTGATTTGAAAGAGGTCACTGCTTAAGTTTTAGGAGGATCGGGTCTGATAGCATCTTTGTGGACTATGAAACCTAGAACCAGTGTTTGGCGTTCACCAAACTACCGTTTTCTTTTACTTCCGGATTAACCTACCTTTTGTGATGTGGTCGAGTAAAAGGCTCAGATAATTGTTAGGTTCTTCAAACGAACGTCCAGTTTAGTAGAATATCATTAGTACATCGCCAAGGTAACAACAGTATCATCCTTCGAAAGCGGGGCTATAATCTAACCACTCCCAATTTATTATTTGTTTAATATTCATATATCAAAGCGTTTCGTGAATGACATATGAAAACCCTAAGCTTATCCTGAACACGTAATCAAAAGGAAGTGGCATGAGAACAATTATTTCCCCTGCTTCACTAGCCACATAAATAGTTTCGCATAGCGCCCAATTACAGACCGCGAAACCACCATCGAACCTGGGGTACTTAGGACAACTTTAAAGTGCACGTGAAAAACTTTTTTTGAGAATGTTTCAAAAGGGGCTACTGATCAGTTTTCGGGGTTCCTGATAAAACGCGAGCACATTACGTTCTAATTTCAAGGACGCACGCGGCCTTGAAATTAGAATTAGTTTTCACTGTCGGCTAGAAATAACTCACTATTCTCTCTCGCTAATAAACTAGCGATTCCTGAGGCAACAAGCTCTAATAGTCAAGCCATTACGCGATCACTTGAAATAGTATTGCAGAGCCCATTTTAAGTGAATTTCGGCGTCTGCGGAACTAGAACCAATGTTGTTCATTCATACTTTGTTAATTTGGAATAGTTCACCGCGCCGCGGTGGTCTAGTGGCTAAGGCACTCGGCTGCTGACCCGCAGGTCGCGGGATTGAATCCCGGCCGTGGCGGCTGCATTCGCGATGGAGGCGGAAATGTTGTATGCCAGTGTGCTCAGATTTGGGTGCACGTTAAAGAACCCCAGGTGGTCTAAATTTCCTGAGCCCTCCACTACGATGTCTCTCATAACCATATGGTGGTTTGGAGACGTTAAACCCCACATATCACTCAAATTTGGAGCAGTTGACGGCTTCTTTTGCTGCACCGGACATATCAAGACAGAAAAACACAGTTGTACGCACTGTCAGATTTCGAGTGGCAGATACTATTAAGCATTTGTGTTTGTAGCGACGCAGAGTGTAATGAAGTTCAAGGTGCCACACGAAATGACATTGAAGTCGTAAGAAATCGTGGTCAATTCATATTTTCAAGCGTATCGTTGTTCAATGGACGCTTCAGTAAGCTGTGCTTTGTGACAGTAAAACAGCCCATCAGTTCGACTTAGTTCGACGTGTAAGCAGGTGGTATCTTTCATTAGGATTGATTGATATGTAGGTCTTAACGTTACAAAATCAACCTATGATTATGAGAGACGCCGTAGTGGAGGGCTTCGCAAATTTCGACCACCTGGAATCCTTTGCCGTGCACCCAAATCTGCGCACACGGACCTACAGCATTTTCGCCTTCATCAAAAATGCAGCCGCCGCAGCCGGGATCCGATCCCGCAAGCTGCGGGTCAGCAGCCGAGTATCTTAGCCACTAGACCAACGTGGCGGCGCTATATATTTCGTTGGGAAAAATAACAAGCATGCTCTGATAAAAAGAATTGGCCCCGTATCTGCATGTTACCCCGCAAATGTCGTCGAAAGACGATAGTCTTGCGTCTGGAGAGAGTGAACAAAACGTTTATTTGATGTTCTGCGCAAGAAAATCAATGAATGGTATTCTGGAGGCACTGCGTTGGAGTGCCTTTAGTGTGCAGCGAAGGCGAACAAGCGCATCAAGTCACGTCACACGTGAGACATGAGCGCTATCTGGCAGTTATCCTGAAAAACGGGGTGCGTGCCACGCGCACCCGTCTATAAAGTGATAAAGTTTAGAACGAAAGGCAACGGGTAGGTGCCATCACCGTGTCGTCTTAGCAAAACATTTACCGATTCGTGCAAGCGTTGCATGGCCAGTGCAGCGTGATAAATGCTACGGTCCTTAGAATTACTTATGTATGCCTTTTCTGGTAAAAGATGCACATGCAGAATACAGAAGTGTTGTTATGGTGCCTCAGATATGAGCAGTAATGGCTTTTTAATTGACAATCGCACAAGTATGAACGCTGAACCTGGAGCAATATTGGTGGGTGCTGCGGATGGGGTCGGCCAGTTGTAGTATCTTTGGGTCACTTTGGTGCCTTTTAGGGTACCGTTAAAGGTAGACAAACATACAGACAGACAGACAGACCAAAATTTTTGCGTCGAGGGTCCCCAAGAAAGAAAAACTATCACCTTTAAAAAACCTTCCAAGCCCGCTCGGAACACGAAGTGCACCTAAAGCTCAAGCTGGAAGACTTGGCTTCATATGGGCCATTGTAAATTGTTATAGGGCTATTTAAAGATGACCACTACGCCATAAATAATCATTTAGGAAGTACTTACTACGCCATATTTCTTTTCAATAAGTAGCATAATGCGCATCGCGCGTCTGTGATGCGCACCATAGATGCGCTCTTTGTTGGTACTGTGGCAGATGATGACGAAGAATTTGAAAAATGTGTTTATTTTTTTATGAGTGGCAAGTTTTGAAGCGCCCACTCGTGACCCAGTTGATATAGTGTGACGATAAGTGTTAGTTTACTCTTTTGCCACGCAATATTGGATCTGTTAACGTGATTCCTTGCTCGATATGACACCTGTATATGGTCCTTTTCCAAAGCAGTTTAAGGCAATACATAGCTTCGTGGTTAAAAGCTCGAATGCTATGCAGGATGGGTATGTTCTACTCCACCTGCAACACTGCTTTTTGTTTTAGCAGCGAGCTTGTTTAGGATATTGTTCCTTGTATAACTTATAAAGTGAAACGTAAAAGGATATATCGCAAAAAGCTTGGATAAATCCCCCCCTCCCCCCTGATTGATTGATTAGTGGGGTTTAACGTCCCAAAACCACCATATGACTGTGAGAGACGCCGTAGTGAAGGGCTCCGGAAATTTCGACCATCCCTCCCCCCCCCCTCACCACTGGTCCACTAAAGATGAGAGCCATATTCAAGCTTGCGACAGCCAAGTTCAAGCCAAGTTCAACCTTGTTACACCAAGTTTCGAGCCAATTGTTGAACCTTACTACAGTCACGGGCTGCCTACATACCGCAAATAAAAAAACGTGAGACCAATCAGCTTCTCCGTGTATCGAGCTTTGCATGGCTTGTGCAAGATTTGAGCCTTTTTTTGCATTGTGCACGGTATAGCTTCGACGGTCACCGTTGGCAGCGGCGGACAACTAGGCCACCGAATTCTGCTGTTGTAGTAAGGTCACATCATCTCATGCATGGAATAACTATGCAGTGCCTTCCAGGCCACTGTGGCAGGCTTACTAGTAACGAGTAACAATATACGGCAACACCTGCTTGCTGTCCTTTCAAGTTTCTATAAAGGCGAATGTTGCTTCCGCAAAACATGACGCACATGCCCTCTTGTAGACTGAGAGCTGATTGTCGAGTAGCGAGAGGCAGAGACACGTGGTAAATCTCGTCACTTAATTCTTCAAGGTTGAAGCAGAATGACGGTGGCTGCCTGTGTCCAAACCGTCAGGTGCGAGGACTCGTTCTGTAACTCGCGCCTCGAGCTCCGAGCACGAGCAGTGCCTTCCTTAGCAGCGCTGTGACTAAGAAGTGATGATGATGATGAGTAAGAAGGCGCAAGAGTTGGTTTGTGTACTGAATACGTATGTTTAAGCGTTTCAATGCACTTTTTGCCTGAACTTCTTCGAAGCTGCAGGCTGTATAGCAGCTTATTGCCAAGCGTTGTGGCTTCTGTAATGCATGTGGCACACGTGTGTGTGGCGTGTTGTTTGCCAGTGACATGCACGCTGATGCAGTTTATTGCGTTTTCGATCCTGCTACCATCATTTAGAGCGGCGGGTGTTGACACTCCCTAGGCAGATCAGTATAGCGTGCCTGTAAATACTGAAGAAAATTATCTGAGCGAAGCGAAAGTCATCTGCTTAACTCTATTGATACCGTACGTGGCTTGCGGAGGTTGTGGTTTTCGATCTTGCCAGCAGCAAGTTTCTTTTAGTCTTCATCGAAACTAAATCCAGTAATTACGAATACAAGCCTTTCGCATGTAGGTCATCATGAGTTAACCTTGCCGATATTGCCCCGCTGTTGTGGTCTAGTTAGTGGCTAAGGTACTCGGATGCTGACCCGCAGATCGTGGGATCAAATCCCAGTTTCAGCAGCTCAATTTTCGATGGAGGCGAAAATGCTGTAGGCCCGTGTGCTGAGATTCGGGTGCACGTTAAAGAACCCTAGGTGGCAAAAATTTCTGGAGCCCTTCACTACGGCGTCTCTCATTATGATAAGGTGGTCTTGGGACGTTAAACACC